GAGGGGATTAAGAATACAGAGTATTTCTTCACTTTCTTGACTTATTGTTGCTTTCAGAAAGTACAGGTGTTTGTGGTAAGTGGTTTGAATTTGGTTTTGTTGTGCTATTTAGTATTCTTGTTCTTGAATCATCTATTGCATTATCATAATCTAGAGATAGGCCTGCAATTTTAGTAATTGTGGTCTTAGGTTTTTAAGTACTCAAGCTGGATGTTTAAATAACATGGGTTCCTATTATCCCAGTGGAAGACAGCACATTGACTTTGGTGCAAGGATCAAAGCTTAAAGGGAAGGCAATACAATAGAGGACAATATAAACAAAGTGTCTGAATGCTAAGAATCAGATTTGTGTCTAATTCATACTTTCTTCAGTGTTTATATTTCTGTTCAAGTCTAGGGATATTAAAACCTCATAATATTATAGAGCATGGTGGTGATTACATATTTTAAATGCAGCACAGCATTGACTTGCCGCCATAGATTACACTGTTTAATTTAATTGTTTTAAATTTATCCTTATTGTTGAAAGTAATGCAGATATCTCTTCCCCCCCACCCCCATTGATCTTCCTCACCCCAGTCCCACCCCTTTCTCATGCCTTCACTGAATTATTATCTGTGTCCATGGGTTTGCATATATGCATATAAGTTCTATGGTTAATTTCTTCCCACTTCCCCCTTCCCTCTGAAATATGCCAGTCTGTTGTATGCTTCAATGTCTCTGGTTCTATTTTGTTCATTAGTTTGTTCATTAGATTCCACATTTAAATAGATCATGTGATACTTGTCTTACTCTGTCTCCCTTATTTCACTTAGCATAATGCTCTCCAGGTTCCTCCATGCTGCCTCAAAGGGTAAGAAATCCTTTTTCTTTTTTTTTTTTTTTACAGCTCATAGAATTCCATTGTTCTTTTTAAAAGGCTGGTTCAGCCATGTGTTTATATACGTTGTAACAGAAGAGGCCACTAGGCTGTGAGTTACAGGAATGACCATATTGTGTTTATTAAATGACAGTGATTTTTGTCTACAAGATTTCCCCTTTAAGTGAGTGAAAGCAAAATATTGTTTCAGAACCACAAGTTCAAATAATGTCCCCAAGAGTTACTGACAAGCCATAAGCGTGGTGTCACACAGGACTCTCCAGCACAAGGGGCTCAGATAATCCCATCATTTTAAAAGTCTGGAAGGATGTGCGTTATGTAACTGTCCTGGAGAGTTCAGTCATAATGCAAATCATTTTTCTTCTAGAACTTACTCTTGAACTTTCTTT